AGTAGTAGGTGCTTGGACTGTGACATTGCTAGTAGCATAACTTGATGGCTGGTTAAGAGGTACTGCAGTCGCAAGAGGTTTTGCTGGACATATTCTTTGATGATACTGGACTGATCTTGATAGAAAAGTTCCTTGACAATACTGACATCGCTGGTAACCATCCATCCTTTGGAGCAAGTAGCCTATTAACAACAGTATAATATTAGACCATTAAGCATATACCAGTATATAGTTATACCTGGATTGGCATTCAAAGCCACTGGACAGATCTTCTCATGATATTTCACACTGCAAGTTAACAAGTTAACTTTGCAATGTTGGCACTGTCCATATCCACCCATACTCATCAAAATTTGATCTGTTAATCATGAAAAATTTAATGTTTGCTATGACTATTATTATTATTAATACCTTTGCTGCTTCTCTGCTGTGGATATGATAATTGTAGTGTACCAAGTTGTGCACAAACTGAATCTACACTGTTCCTCTAAAAACATCAGGTACACGTTGAAACACATCATTAACTACATGTTATTGGTAGTTGCATTGCTTTGTTTACAAATGCTTTACAAAACACACATCTTTAATAATACACACTGCTATGTACATCAATGTATAGTGTGAATTTACTTGTGTAGTATTAGGAGTTACATTCCAACTGTATGTCATGCCATTGTATCTGTTACCTATATTTTTAAAATACATATTAAGCAACAATCTTCTTTATATATGTGTAATGTCCTTACCAGTATCCATTGCAACAGATGAGCTATCAACTGGTAAAGAACAATTGGATATATCACTGTTTGTACTGGTGGAATGGTCTACTGGTGATGATGCACTGGTAGACTGGTCTACTGGTGAATCAGTGCTGGTAGACTGGTCTGTCGGTGAATCAGTGCTGGTAGACTGGTCTACTGGAGATGAAGTGCTGGTGGAATGGTCTACTGGTGATGAAGTGCTGGTGGAATGGTCTACTGGTGATGAAGTGCTGGTGGAATGGTCTACTGGTGATGAAGTGCTGTCTTCTCCTGGTGAAGGAGTGTTATTGAATTGCTTTGAAATAGAAGGACTTGTTGTACCACTAGTTGATAGCTCTTGATTCTCAGAAGATGTCCTGCAGTACTCTTGATGCTCTTCAATGCTCAGAATGGGAAACAATTCTTGACAAAGCTCACAAGGTAAGAGAGTACCATCATCACTGTCATCTGTAAGAGGAACAGTAAAGAGGAAGAGGGAAAGTGTGGCTACCTGCTTTTAGCAGTGACTCCTCTGCACAGTCGTCTTTAGTAGCACCAGTTATGTTGTTTGTAGTACTTTTATCATCTTCCTGTCAAAACAAGATAAACCACAGCCCACGTAAGTGTAAT